CACAGAACTGGATTCCAAGGAGTTGAAAATCAACTCCGTATCCATCTCGGACGGATGAATTTGAATTTAAATAATTATAAAAATAATAAAAATATTATTACAGTTAGTTGAAATTATTATTATTATTATATTAGTTGTGACGTCATAATCATATCATCATTATTATTATTAATTATAATATTTTAAAATTTAAATAAAATCATTTATGTATCTATTTCAGTTAAGCAATAATAATAATTATTTTTTATTAACATGACGTCATATTCAGGTTATTATTATTAATAATATTATTATTTGTTATGGTTATTTTACTATAGTCATTATTGAGTCTGTCTAGATTACTGCATGCATCATTGTGAATGGATGGGTGAATGAATGAATGAATGAATGAATGAATGAATGAATGAATGAATGAATGAATGAATGAATGAATGAATGAATGAATGAATGAATGAATGAATAGATGAGTGGATGAATGGAAGGGTCAGTTCTTAAACCATTATTATTCGTATTTTGCACGTCAAAAGGGGTCTATAATAATTCAACATCATAGTACTGTTCAAGTTCACGTCGTCTATAGTTCAAATCCTGGTAGATCGTTTAGTTGGTTGAGGTTGTCTGGATGGTTCATTCATTCATTTATTTATTTATTCATTATTAATCTAAGACATTCTTTTAGCCAAATGTATTTATGTAATTATGTTAGTTTTGAATGGTACATATTTTATAATATAACCTATTTTGCCATCACTTTTTAAAGTCCAAAAGTTAAAGCAATTCACTTTTAAGCGTAACATTACATAATCACTGTGTTCCTAATTTTTAAACTTCATTTGAAATCGTGATCCTAAATTTGAATTCAGTCAGATTTTTATCACTAATTTATATTTTTATTTTGAATAGCGTTGGGGTGAAATTAAATGAAAATCTAATGAATAGTCATCGGGTGGATATGATGATCATCAATCCAGAATCCAGATATAAGATAAGAAAGATGAACCATAAAAAAATGGTGCTATAAAAAATAAATATATAATATATATAATATATATTAATATATATATAATATATATTAATATATATATATAATATATATATTAATAATATATATTTATATTTATTTTATATATAACCACAATAAACTTCAAAATATTATGTATTGTAAACTATAGCTGTTTTGTTGAGTTTAAAAAGATTAATTGGAGTGCAAAGTTTACTAAAAACTCAAAATGAACAAATGACAGAATAAAGTGGGTGAATGAATAAAATGAAAGACAGAATGAATGAATGAATTAAAAAGGTGAATGAGTGAAATATATTTCTTAGATTTCATTGCTCTCTTGTTCATAATTCATCTGACAAACTTTTTTCCTAATTCTTGCTAAAAATTATACTAAAAATCTAATTTATTATTTAATTTGCAATTGGTTAATAATCAGTGTTAACTGGTGAATTTGACGATTAGTGAAACGTTATTGAAGCTGGAGTGATAAATTAACAGAAATTAACTGTTTTTGCTTGAAAAAAAATTAAATTTATTTAAAAAAAACTTCAAAAATGAAAGCATTCGTTTCACTTAGCAAAACTTTTCTCAATTTAAAAAACCCTCCAAACCTCCAAAACAAATCTCTTATCAGACCATCAATGACTGTGTCATCATCAACTAACATACGCAGCAACGACGATACAAAACCGAAGATCGTGAAGCCATTCAGCGAAGTCCCCGGCCCATTTCAGCTGCCATTTTTAGGTAATGTTCAACTCCTGCCCTCCTATATATTTGATCAGGAAAAGTCGAATGAAATTTTGTTAGAGAGAATCCAGAAATATGGAAATATTTTTAAGGAACAAATTGGAAATGTCTCCATGGTTTACATACACGATCCTGTTGACATTGAAATTGTTTACAGAAATGAAGGTTAATAATAATAATAATAATAATAATAATAATAATAATAATATATTGTAATTATTATATTATTAATAATAAATAATAATATTTTCATGGCTAACTTAACTCAGGTAAGTACCCCAGACGTATTCACATTGATAGCTGGAGGCAGTGGAGGGATAAAAATAACTTGCCAAGAGGGATTCTTACAGAGTTATTATTCTTATCCACTCGTTTTTTTCATGCATCCATTCATTCATTCATTCATCCATTCAATCATTCACCTCTTCATTCATCCATCCACTGAATTTGATTCACTTATTCACTCACTTTTTCTTTCGCCCACTCATCCATCCACCCATTCATTCATCCACTAATTCATTCTCTCTATCCACTAATCAAATCAGGGACGGCCACCAGTGGAGCGTGATGCGAAAAACTCTTGACAAGCCGATGCTGAAGAGGGATTACGTGCGTTCTTACTTCAAGGAGTTTGATTCAGTTCTGGATGATTTCATGGCAAGGATTGAAAAAATTTCCAGCCAGAATGACAAAAACCTCGTGCCTCATATCGACCAGGAGCTCTTTCACTGGTCTCTTGAATGTTCGTTGTTATTATTATTTTTATTTTACACACACACAGACACGCACACACAAACACACATACAAACACACACACAAACGCCTGACACACACACAGACACGCACACACAAACACACATACAAACACACACAAACGCCTGACACACACACAGACACGCACACACAAACACACATACAAACACACACAAACGCCTGACACACACACAGACACGCACACACAAACACACATACAAACACACACACAAACGCCTGACACACACACAGACACGCACACACAAACACACATACAAACACACACACAAACGCCTGACACACACACAGACACGCACACACAAACACACATACAAACACACACACAAACGCCTGACACACACACAGACACGCACACACAAACACACATACAAACACACACACAAACGCCTGACACACACACAGACACGCACACACAAACACACATACAAACACACACACACACACGCACGCACACAAAACAGCAATAGGGACAGTCCTTTATGAGAAAAGGCTGGGTGGTCTTAGCGATTCGAAACCACCCCAAACATCAACATTTATAAAAGCAGTCCAGAACTTATTTGCCAGTACCGGTAAACTGGTTTTTCTACCTCAGTACATCAATAAGGTATTGTTTAGAAAATGGTTTAATATGCATGCGAAAAGCTGGCAAGACATATTCGACATATGTACGTATTTATGATTGTATGTGTTTTTTGTGTTTGGTTGAGTGTATTTATAGTTGTATGTGTTTTTTGTATGGTTGATTGTATTTTTAATTGTATGTGTGTTTTGTGTATGGTTGGGTGTATTTATAATTGTATGTGTTTTGTGTATGGTTGATTGTATTTATAATTTTGTATGTGTGTTTTGTGTATGGTTGGGTGTATTTATAATTGTATGTGTTTTGTGTATGGCTGAGTGTATTCATAATTGTATGTGTTTTGTGTATTAGTATGTGTAGAAGTGTTAGTATGTTTTTTTTGTATGTATATATCTGTTGTATTGTATATAATTGTATGTATCAGTTCGTTTCATTGGAGTTGTTGTGTGTTGCTTGTAGGGTGTCTTGGATATTTTTGTATTGTATATGTGTGTGTTTGTTTGTTTGTTTGTTTGTGTGTGTGTGTGTTTGTGTGTGTGTTTGTGTGTGTTTGTTTGTTTGTGTGTGTGTCTGTGTGTCTGTATATTTTTGCACGTCGCATTTTAATATTACTCCCAAACTAATTTATCTCTTCAAAGCCTCTGAAATGATTCACGCCAAACTTGAAAGAATAAAAGAATCAAAGAAAAATAATAATAATCATAATAATGGTGATGGTGGTGGTGGGTTTTTGGCTTATTTGCTGGAGACTGATATGAAAGAGGAGGAGGTTGTGGGGAGTCTGAGCGAAATCATGCTTGGAGCCGTTGACACTGTGTGTGTTTGTTTGTGTGTGTATTTGCGTGTGTTTGTTTGTGTGTGTGTTTGTGTGTGTGTTTGTGTGTGTTTTTTGTTTGTGTGTTTGTTTGTGTGTGTGTTTGTGTGTACGTATGTGTTTGTGTTTGTTTGTTTGTGTTAGTGTTTGTTTGTGTGTGTGTGTTTGTGTTTGTTTGTGTTTGTTTGTTTGTTTGTTAGTGTGTTTGTGTTTGTGTGTACGTGTGTGTTTGTTTGTGTTTGTTTGTGTGTTTGTGTGTGTGTTTGTGTGTGTGTTTGTATGGATAATTGCATGGAAAGATGTTTAAGTACGGTTAGACTTTAAAAGCTTAATTCTTCAATTGTTTGTTTATTCAATTATTCATTCATTCATTCGTTCGTTCGTTCATTCATTCATTCACTCACTCATTCATTCACTCACTCACTCACTCACTCATTCACAGACCTCAACAGCTGTGCAATGGGCGTTATATGAATTATCCCAAAATCCGGGAGTTCAAGATAGAATCATCCGGGAGTTGGATGGAAACTTGAAGGATGGCTGTTTGCGTAGTTACCAAGATGTTGAATCGCTTTCTTATTTGAAGGCTGTCATTAAAGAAACGCTGAGGTCTGTGTGTGTATGTGTGTGTGTTTGTGTGTGTGCGTGTACGTGTGTGTGTGTGTGTATGTGTGTGTGTGTGTGTTTTCTCATTCAACGAACGAATGAATGAATGAACTGTGTAGACGAACAAACGAACCGGAATGTGAAAAGTAATTTGGCAAGTGTCTAAAAAGGTTGTTGAGTAGGTAGACGGATGGACTAACGAAAGAGCAAATGAAAACTCGACTTAATGAACGTAAGAATGAATGGATGAATGAGTGAATGAATGAATGAATGCATGAACGAAAGAACGAACGAACGAACGAATGAATGAATGAATGGCAAACGAACGAAAGAACGAACGGACGAATGAATGAATGAATGAATGAATGCATGAACGAAAGAACGAACGAACGAATGAATGAATGAATGGCAAACGAACGAAAGAACGAACGGACGAATGAATGAATGAATGAATGAATGAATGAATGAATGAATGAATGAATGAATGAATGAATGAATGAATGAATGAATGAATGAATGAATGAATGAATG